GCGCATGTTGCACGCTTTGATACGTGATTAGCAACCTCGAAATGCAAATAACTGTTACAGATCTACACAGTCAGTGAAAGTCGTTAGGCGGTTTTACTCATTCAGGTCACGTCACCGAAGAGTCGATGCGTACACTGGCACATATTGCGTGACTCTCCAAATCCTCCGTTATTTAGAGAAACGGAGGGATACATGCTCACTGACTAATGGACGTGTTTAAAATGTCCTTGTGCAGCCAGTATTACGGTGCGGATCAAAGACGCGAACATTACGCATCGAGGAAATTGTATGTATTTAAGCACCGATGCCTGTGAAGTACTGACCATGCTAGATGGTTGCACTGAATAGCTGAAGTTCGCCATGTGTTGTTTAGCAACAGATCCGCTGGCAACACAGTGGAATGTCCACACAAGCTAGAGTCACAGCCGCCTCAGTGGGTATTGTTCACCAATAGAGTGCTAATTAGGTTGAAACCCAGAGATGGTCAGTCGATGACCCGGTAAAACGGAGCGCTGAAGCTCACGTAAGATTTGGTTAAAATTGGTCCGCATCATCTTTTCAGGCTGAAGTTCCAGGATCAACCGCATCAGCGGATAAAGCGAAACACAGGAAGCCAGTGACGCACTTGCATTCATTCCGTCATTTCTAACGATTAACATACCTTTCTTTTATTTGCTCCTATTGACTTCTATCATTTATCACTGTTGCTTGGTTTCGTTATCAACATCTGTTAGTGAGGTGAGCCAATACAAAAAGTCCACTACGCCTCGGAACGCAAACCACATTCGATTAAGTGACGTTAAACCTCGACGAGGGTAACCCATGAGTCAATGCAAAAACTGAACGCTTGTTTCAAATACAGTGATCCCAACCTTGCAGCACAATGCGCAGTCTTAAGGGAATGGTCAAAGCGTATGGTGACGCAACACAATGTAGGCACAACTGCAACTTGAGAAAAACGACATTCGTAACTTGGCAGACGTAAGCTAAAACGATCCCGGGAAAAAAAATAAGGTATCAGCTGTACGCCGCAACGGCGCTTTGCTACCGCGCGACCACCACCAGTCGCACGTGGGCTGAGGGTACGGTGATGACTCCGGTCCCTACGCGGATTCAAACCAGACGTGCAGACCACTAGGCTACTGGCCGACTAAGTGTGTTAGGGCACAATCCAAAAAACGAAGGTTATAGGGTGATTGTTTCTTTTCAAAAGCCGCGGAGATTCGCGCAAGAAAGGCGTGTCCCCAAATGAACTTGCCGATCTGGCTTTCGGTGATGTCATCCAGTACAGTAAAACAACAACGAACAGGGGCACCGAGGTACGGTGAATTTAGCTGCCCCAACTCGCGTCGTCAGGACAGCAATACATAACGATAGTGAGAAAAGGAGGTAGAAAGCAGACATGAAGAAGTGGGTAGAATTAATCGGGATGGAAAATAAATAGCTGGATAATTACCCAAGAATTTGGAAACTAATGCAGTTGGCTCGGAGTCCACGAGTTTTATGGTGAACACATGCGTAATTGTCAGGAAGGAAGTCAGTAGATAGGTTAGAGAATTGTGGAAAAAGTGATCCCGTCGACACAGAAGAGCAATACGGCGGCGTAACAAACCAGCAGGAGCTCAAGAGGAACGCAGTGTGTATTCGACCAAGATTAATCCAATAGTCTTTGTTAGAGATATAACCAGAGTAGCGCAGCGAAGAGGCTTAACTAACGGTCAACGGGGGCAACTTAATACAGAAATGGTAACTAGTCCCCACAAAGTAAGCACACGTTGGATATCTGGGGGATGGGATGCCATTGCACTATCCCCATCGAATAGGCGTCGTCCGCGATGCAACAGGTTACGCAGGACCGTAAAGAATAAGCAGGCTGTTCATCTGTTGCGTTGAAGAGGCATACATAGAATCTAAAACGTGGAAAAGCACAGATGACGACTGAGCAGCGCAAATGGAGACAAATTTGGCTAGTTTCGTGAACAGATATGGATAGTACCACATGAACTGAGTCTGGTTATGAGGACCCAGTGAAGCAGGATGCACCGGTTTGTAAGCAGAGCTCAAATGAGGGAGCGGATTTGACAAGGGAGCAACAGTCGATACAGCTGCAGGAGTGGGTGGCAAGCTCGGCCATCAGTTGCACATGGAGGAACTCCAGTGGCTATGTCATTGAGCAAGAGATAAAAGCAGGCCGCATCCATGAAATGGTGGCAAGTACCGCGGTCCGTATGTTTCTGGGAGCTTCAAGAGTCAAGCTATCAGCCCGAAAGGCGTGGGACACAACTGTATCAACGGCATTACGAAGCTCTGGGTAGAGTGGAACGCTGTCCCCTTAAGCACCATCGTAAGGCTCCCCTTCAAACGCGACATGGTCAGACGCACTGATTGTAATCACCGAAGCATAACCATCGACCACATCGGTGACGCAGGCATAGGCATTTTGCTATGTGATGTAGCAAGTTGGGAATACTGTTGTGGTTGGTGCTGCCGCTGTTGCGGTCCCTTGGGGATCTTGGTGATAGGAAAATGGGTAACCGTCTTCAACGCCAATAAGAATGTGAAATGCTCTATAACCGCATCAGGGGCCGTGAGGTTAGTCGTGCCGGACCTGAAATCAGTGGTCAACAGCTGGTAACAGCGATCGAACAACAAACTAGGCTGAACCATTGTATCAACAACAACTCTCATAGCGGAAACAGGTCAAGTTTCGTTGACGTCATTGCGATGTTCAGCTGCCAGCTACGGAGAGGAGTTAGTGCGTAAAGGTGATTCCAAATCATATGGACCGATGAGTCTGTAGAATAAACAATAGCAAATAGCAAGTTGAATCAATGTGGACTTCAACTAGAAGTCGAGTACTCCACTCTGCGTAACATTGAAATGATGCGTTGCGACAAAGTCGGAATGTGTGAACACACTTGATGTCCAAGGTGCGGCGAGCGTTCATGCATCGTTTTGTCCTAACACTCCTGACATCTAGCAGTTCTCAAGTGCTCACGAGCCAGCGATTACGCAGTGAGCAAGTCCTAGTGTAGAGGAACTGCAGACGCGGCGGCTAGGACTGAAAGGTCGATCATTTGCCCCATTTCACTCTCAGTTAACATGAACTGCGGAGTGTTATCCGTCAAAGAATGCAGGTTAGATCGATAGGCCAGAAGGCACACTTGTAGTACAACATCCCGTTCACCAGGAACGTCTTCATACATAAAAGCTTTTAGAATGGCCATCAGTGCTCGATTGGCGCGTTCTATTTGGCTGTTATATTGTGGGTGATAGGTTGTGGTGAGAGTTTTCTCAATGCCCAAGATTTGGCAGAGTTCTGACACCGTTTCTGCGTTCTCTACCCGGCCGATTTTGACATTTGAGACTACAAGTTTGAAACTGTCTCCGCCTACATGCTACTCATCCTTCTGGTTCATGTAATCCTCGCAACGACTTTAATGTCTAATGATCCGTGTGTACTACGAAGTTTGGTGGTAGAGGTGGAGTCTCAGTATGGTATTCCGGTTTTCCAGCCCTACTCTCTTCACAAATCCCATAGGTTCGATCATTCTGAAGCGGACGACGAAGACTTATCTCCTCGCTGTTCCAGATGTATACAAGGGCGCATAGTTCTTCTTTCACCTGGACGGATAGGTATTGCACGGCTTATTTGCTGTTGCTTATCCTACAGACGCATCGGTCGATTGGATCTGGAATCAACTTTAAGCACCAACCCCTCTCCGTAGCAGGCAGTCGGACACCACAATGACGATCGATATTAATGAAACTTGACCCGTGCCCGCTATGAGAGTCCATGGACGAACTGAGAACAGGAACCGCTCAGTTGTCGTTCACTTCCATCGCTTGAAGCCGGCGACCCTCGGTAAGCCTTTTCCCTCATCGCCCTAATGTCCGATAAGACACCGATCCGCTAGATGCGTTAAGAGAGATGGTGTCGACAGCAACGGGAATCGGGAAGAATGTAATGTGGAAGCTTAGCATGTCTCGAAACTTGCACTTTTTCCTTTGCTGTCATTGCAGGGCCGCGATCAGATTACTAATAAGTTAGTGTAGGGAGAAACAATAGGCCTTAAAAAAGAATGAGTTTTGTTTGGTCCTGTAATTATTATTATTATGCTATCCTTTGCACTCGAACCGTATACGTTGGCTTGGTCATACTCTTTGCATGTTTGTTGATCATTTTACGCATTGTGTGCGCGTCCAGTTGGTTGAAGCTTCAAGGAATCGAACAGCGCTGTAACATAAGACACAGAAAGTAAGTGAGATGCTTGGTTTGACTGGTGCACGCCACCTCTGAGAACGGGAGTCCCGGGGTGAATCATGTCTCTCTGAATTAAACTGTAGTCTTCAAATCAATAGACCGCAAGTGTATAGTATCCATGATGTTTGTTGGCAGTCGCTCATTCAGGAAGTAAGGCTCACTCTTTCCCTACTAGATTCGCTGCTACCTACAGCAAATTAGCAGCAACATGAAACTGAGAGGCCACCAATTCAAGCTGGCCATGAAATGCAGCCGGTTAGAACGTCGCCGAAACTTTTACGCTCTTCATGTGTTCCAACCTTGGAGTCTCTTCGCTAATTACTTTGTTCCTGTCCGATTTTATCTGTGTTTAAAAGATGTCTTCATGTTGCCCTAAACCAGCTGCATTACAAATTATAGTATGTGTACATTGGGAAACAATATAACGTGAAAAGCATGCACCAAGAAGCGCATTATCCTGCACAACGGAAACAGATCTGAGCGGCCCAAGTGGTGTAGTACTGAAACCACAACAGTAGGTAGTACCGCAAGGGAGCTACTAACCCAAATAAACACTACTATCATGGTCACGCACACTATGACGTGAGTGCGGTGGAGAACACAATGGTGGTAAACAGAAGCACCGATGGATCTCTCGCAAACAACATTTTATAAAATACAAATGGGCAAAGTCGAAAGCAGGTAACCGGTTGACTTGTGCAGTTCGCTGAGTGGGGGGGGATGGATTGCGAGTGGTTCAAATTGCGGCCAGATAGTCCTTCAATTCGTTTGGAGTAAGGGTGCGAAACCCATTCTCGTTGCATATACCGATCTCAATATTGTTTTCAGTCATCTGTCCCTCAAAACTCTCCTTTAGTGTGAGTATGGCTGCGTGCACTGCATCGTCCAACTGTAAATCTTTATTATACCTACAAAAAGAAACAAAGAGAGCCAAACATTGGTGTAAAACAATTCAGAAGAGGAGCAAGCATAAATTCCTTAAAGTTCCAACCCGGTGGGTAGACATAAATGTCTATTTAAAATCATTAACAACAATAATTCAACCGACCCTGACACCACCATGCCATGAAAGTGACAATCGAAAAACAGAACTACAAAAGTGGCCAATGCGTATGCGATGAGAGCTCACAGTTAAATGCTGAGCAAAACACCTTGGCACCCACGACCGATAATGCCCAGCATTCGAGTGACATAACATGGACAGCTTCTAATGTGATCCCAGATGAGTTAGAAGAAAATGAAAAGAGTCTATGAGCGGCCTACGCATTCAACACTTTGGATGGTCACTTTCTTATAACTCGGTCGGAGGGAAGGCTGGTAACCTGTCCAAATGGCGTCCGTATAAGCCATCATCATCATCTCCACCACCACCATCATCATTATCATCATCGTCATCATCATCAGCAGCAGCAACAGCAGTCATCAGTCATTTGAACTGATGCTTCGCTGCCATACAACCATGAGGGACTATGAAATAAAGAATAAGAAGAGGGAGAGAAAGGGGGACTTACCTGAAAACCTTAATGCCCTAAGCAAACATTCTGGGTCAAGGCGCCTACACCTTGTGTAGACAACATACTGTCACAAACAGCTGGCTATTGTGCAAAGATAAGGCCGCATGGGCGAGACAGCTTCCTTGCGGCTTTCACTGCACGCGACATAATCAGCCATTACCCCGCAGATAACTCAGCATCAAACACACTTTAAACAGGCAATGCGATTAGGAGACGGCAGTAGACGCGCCATTGATGTCGGTTGCGAGCCTTGTCCTTAAAGTCTCGAGCCAAGCACAAGGCGAGTCACGTGGACTCCAGCCCGGAAAGCGAGATGGACCAACGGCATCTAGTTTGGTCGTCAGTGACTTCATTTCCCGCTGCCAAGTCAACTTCTGTCCACCGCGAGGCTCGCGCCACCCTACACCTGGCAGACTAAACAATGCCCTCCTAGGTAAGCGGTGACCAGGCATACGTAGCATGTGCCCTAGCCAACACAACTTATTCAGTGCTATCTGTTGTTCTAGTGAGCAAGCATGATTATCACCACCTAGTACTCGCCCACGCACATCATAGTTGCGGACACGCTGGTGCCATCCGACTCCAGCAATGCTGCGCAGACAACGACGATCAAAGACTTGAAGGCGCCTCAGATCTTCAGACCAAAGGGGCCAAGTCACACTACCATACAGCAGAACGGCCCTCGCTGTGGCCTTGTATACACGGCCTTTCAGACGGAGGGAAACTCTCTTCTGTCGCCAAAGATGCCACAGGTTCAAGAAGGTAGCTCTGGCTTTTGCAATGCGTGAGCTGACGTCAGTTTCTATGCACCCATCGTTGCGGATGAGGCTGCCAAGATAAGTGAAATGAGCAACAACCTCGAGTTCCCAGTTAGCAAGCACCAAGGGGTCGTCAAGTAGCTGGTGGTCCTACAGCAACACTTTGCACTTTGAAGGTGCGAAGTGCATACCGAATAATGGGACCACTCTGGATAGGCTATTCAGGGTTGATTGTGCCGCCCCAACATCGTCGGAAAGCAAGACGATATAGTCCGCATAATCTAGACCAAGCAACCTTTCACCAGGCAGCACTTCAACGCGTACATCGTGAGATTCCGCAAGGGAACACTCCATGATAGAATCCACAACAAAATTGAACAAAAATGGGGAAATCGGACAACCCTGACCAAGGCCACTTGTAGTCGGAAAGCTATCCGGTAGGACACCGTAGACCCTGACGTGGCCTGTTGTGTTCGAGTATAGAGCACGAAGGATGTTCACATATTTCGTGGGAACACCTTTTCGCGCAAGTAATTCGAACAGAATCGTTCGATCAACTGAATCGAACGCACTCTTGAAATCGAGAAACACGGCTATTGTCGGTCTGCGGTATGCGTGGCGCTGCTCTAGCACCTGCCGCAAAGTGAATATATGGTCTATACAGCCATGTCCTGGGCGCAAACCAGCCTGCTCATCCTAATCCGAAATTCCCGTTCCGCAGTGAGGCGACGTACGAGAATCGAGGCCAATAATTTTGTCATAACTGGCGTTAAGCTAATACCCTTGTGGTTAGAACAGTTTGCGCGACTGTCCTTCTTGTATATTCCCATGATCGATTCGCTCCAATTAGCCAGGAGGCTCTATTCTTTCCAGATACCTTCGAATAAGGAGGTCAATGCTTTGCAGAGGACCTCACCTCCATCCTTAAGTAGTGCAGGTGGGAGAGAATCCCGGCCAGTGGCACGAAAACGATTAAGGGCTGTAATCGCGTTTCGGACCTCGGCCTCCGACGGAGGCTCTAAACTAACCGTCCATGGTTCATTCTGCATCACCTGAGTAGGAAGAGGTACGGGAGCATGGGGCCAGCTAAACTGATCTTGAAAGCGTTCCTCCCAACGAGCCATACGGCGCTCCTTATTGTGTATCTGCGCACCCGCGCTGTCTCTGATTGTCACACTGACGCCCGGTTTCCTGAGACCAGTTGTTCGGATCAGCTGGAACAGCCTATGGTAATTGCCCACTGCTCCTGCCTTCTCAATTTCTTGAGCCCGACTGGTCCACCAGACTTCCTTGTCAGCACACAGGCTCTGTTTCAGTTCACGCCTAATAGCCCTTCTGGTCACATTGTGTTCAGAGCCATCCGGGAGATGTCTTCTAGATTCCAACAGGTTCACCGACCTCTCGGATATCCAGTGACTGGCGCGGTGACCATTGATAGTGCTACAAAGCAGATGCTTTTGCGTCGTGCATGGCGGTCGAGATCCTATACCACTGAAGCTCAGCGTCATTAGGACAAGACAGCGGAAGTTCGGTATGCAGTGCTTCTTGATAGGCTTGCCTGACCGAGGACTGGGACAATTTCGCAGTTGCCAATCGTAGGGGACGCTTGGTGCGCCTCCCGGTAACGTTAATGGAGAAACGACAACGTACCAAGGCATGATCAGAGTCGACACAGATACTCCAGTACCAGCGGCAATCCAGGATGGAACGCCACCTGTAACTTATGGCAATGTGGTCAATTTGGGTCCATCGCTGGCCAGCTACAGGGGGACGCCAAGTGGCACTTTGGCGCCCACTGTGTCTAAAAGCAGTGCTACTAAGAAACAATTGGTGCTCCGCACACAGTTGCTGCAGACGCTCAAGGTTGTCAGTCCCTTCGGAGTTAAGCCCACATTTACCACCTAGCTGAGCTTCTGAAGAGCTCAGATGCCCTACTTGTGCGTTCATATCCCCTGCAAGTATCATAATATCTGAACTAGTAGCACTGCGTAGTACCGCATTCAGTTCGTGATAGAATGTGTCCTTGACAGCATTTGAACCGCAGTCGGTGGGAGCATAAGCGGAAATCACAAACAAACAGCGTTTCGTATTACTTCATGACTTCACCTTAGCTGATATCGTCAAACGGGCTGCACATAAACGGCTGTTCACCGGAATCCAATCAACCAACAATGCCTCAGCCTTAGAGCTTAGAATGATACCTACACCAGCTTGACCAGTGAGTGCCGCATTGGCGCCTCCGGATGCATGCAACCAATAACGAGAGGATAAGCCAGGTGCAGTTAATGCAACAACCCCATTAGGGTCATTGATGTTAGTTTCGGACACACAACACACATCAATACCCAGTGTGTCCAAGGTGCGTGCGAGTGCAGCCTGTTGACATGTTTGTCTTAGAGTGCAAACGTTGAACGCCGCCATGGAAACGAGACAGCGTGGCCTTATAAGGGAATTTTGCCGATTGGCGTCCGATAGGCGTGTTTGGATGGTGACTGCAGATGGTTTTGCTCCAGTGGCACTTCAGTTACTGTCAAGTATGTTGGGAATTATAGAAGGAAGTTTAGTAATGGGGGTCGGGATGGGAGTAAGAAAAAAAAGGTGGAAAAGAAAGAAGGGAGGCGCCAGCAGTAGCATGTTTTCGCTTATCCGCCCTGTTGCATGCAGAAGATAAAGCGACCCTTGATAATCTGCGCGACGACCGATGCAGGATGAAGTTTATGTGTGAAGAAAATGTCATGGTTGTATGTGGGCTGAGATACTGCCAGGGCGCCCAGACCTAGACAGGAGGACGATTAGGGTCCTCATCCAAAGCCCTTGGCTCAAAAGCCTGTCCGCAAGGCAGCGGGGAAGTGGCAATGATTTAGTTTTACAGAAATGGACACCATTCCATCTCAAACCCCCAAGCTGGAGGACCAGGTGACTGAGTTTGTCTGACCTCTCACCATTGACCAACCTGGTAGGAGTAGCTCTCAAGGTTCCAGGAGGCATCATCCAGTATAGCTCAATGGGTCAATTAGATACGCAAACCATCGCACCACGTTAAGGTCCAGTCTCGTTGTCATCACCCTTCCCCCACTCATCCGAATTTATGTTGCAGCGAGTTGGTTAGTTGGAATATGCATTAATGAGCAAGGAAAGGTGAACAAACAACTCATGTGCGAGTGAAGCCTTTCGAAGGAATACCCTAGAGGGAAATAGCTCCCTGGGGACCGTTCCAGGGGTGGCTGTATCTGCATTTGTTATTGTTCGTAATCTCAATCTTTAGAACACATTCAACTTGTCACTCACTCCAAAAATTCAAATAATTACCCGTTGTATGCAATCCCGTTGTACAGTATGATTAAGCCACTCAGTTTGACTGTGGTTAGCACTGTCGATGAATATGGCATTTATTTAGTTACTTACTTACACATGGTTCATAAACCTTGGTGAGTGGAACAGCATAGACCGTATTGTGGCTAGTCACTACACAACAAGTGCCGGCGGATATTATCGATCCCCTACTCGGAGTAGGTCAGGTCAAAATCCGTGGACGATACAGGCTTCCGCCTAACGAGCGTCCAGCTTCCTGTACCGGTAAGCGAACCAGAGCCCCCGGCACTTCGACTTTTGATCGCCTCTCCTTGCCTCTGCAAAAAGAAATGAAGCAAAAGCGAGAGCAATCTTTGCTTTTACAAGGATCAACATCGGATAACAATGCGAATAAATTGGATAGGATTATATTAATTCCGGAAAAATACGCGGCCAGCACCTGTCTAGGCCTGCTTTGAAGGCAACCACAGTCTCACAATCCATTAGTTCCGAAGGCAACTTATTCCAGTTGCGCACTACACGATTTGAGAAGAACTTAGCCCTGACGTTCAGTCTAGCTCTCTGTTGTTTGAGCTTCAAGCGATGTCCACGCAAGCGTTCAGAATCAGCCAGCTCAAATAAATCAGAGGGCACGATGGCACTGAAGCCCTTCATGATCTTAAATGTTTCTATCAGATCGCCTCTCAGTCTACGCCGTTTCCAAGTTGCTATATCACTCGCACTCAGTGCAAACCGAATGTTCGTGATCGTCAGGCCGTGAGTGGCACACAGTGAAAGCAGCCTGTCACCGTTCACATTCGCTGAACCAATGCCATGCGAACCGATAACATCTGCCCACACCGATGCATCACACTCAACGCGCGCGTTGAAATCACCCAGCAGAAATAGTCGGTCGCTCCTCGGCACAGACCGTAACAGGGAGGATAGCTGATTGTAGAATTGATCACGCAGGTCATCAGGATAACGCATGCTCATAAAAGTGCCAAACTTACCTTCTCCAAGTCGTAGGTGTACAGTCATCAGTCGCGCGCTGATGCCTGTTTGTTCACTCACCAGCTGGCCATGGAGGCGATCGGATATTGCAAATCCGACCCCATGATCACGTGGTGCTGAGGCGGCGTTGCCCACCCAGTGGAATGTGTAGCCAGCACCTGCTTCATGCAACTTACCTTGCTCGACGAGCCGAGTTTCACTGAGCGCCACAATATCGATGTAGTAACGCGCCAGCTCCATCGCGACCAATGCAGTGCGTCGCTCGGGGCGGTCACTGGAGTTCTGGTCCAGTAGTGTGCGCACGTCCCAGCATCCGATGCTGAGTGCTTTGCGCGTAGGCATACGATTGCATTGGTAGGCAATCGCACGCGAGGTGGTCGTTGTCCTTCGGAGGTTTGCGTGAGGGACTCCACCCGGAGCCTTTGGCTCAATAGCCTTGCCCACATGACATTGGGGAGCAGATCCACCTCGGGAATGTGGTTGCAGAGACAGATTGGGATCTGCTTGATGGCCGTCACACGTAGCCTTGAAGTTACTTGAACGATTTATATCTGTTTTGCGACCGTAGTAGGATACGTACCTGCGACCACAGCCAGGCGCAATTGGGTTTTGGCGGGTTTGCACCAATTTGATCAGGGGCTGCCTGGCTTGAGGCGGGTAGTAGCAAACCGTTGAGCACCCGGAGGTGCGCTCCCACCGTCAGAGACAATGCGTGGCGCTCGTGCTCTACGGCAATCGAGCTGTGAGCTTATAACCCGTAGAACTGTTGTCTCCCATGGCTAGGTTTTACCGGGAGAGGGCCATCGACCACTTCTTAACCCCCGAAGAGGATAGACTAGGATACTGGCAGGGCGCCCACACCTGACAGGAGAACGACTCGGGTCCTCAGCCAAAGCCTTCGATTAAATGTACACCCGAAAGGCAGCGGGTCTAGCACACAGTCAGTTCACTGGCTCATGCGGATTGGTGCCGTGGATCTTAGCAGGGAGAAGGGCGAAACCCAACTTCCACCCAGCTGTCGCCACGAGGAGTCGTCCAGGACATATGCAAATGGCGCAACAGTAGCAGCAGTGGGTAAATCATCTGTCAGGATCTAGCCACAACCAGCCTCAGCGAACCATCGGCTCTTCCGCCATCAAATAGGCCATTACTGGGTTTAGCTTCATTCCGCGCCAGATTTGCGGTACTACTACTGCCGTGATAGTATCAACTGGATGTGCTTCTTCAGACAATGTAAGTGGGACTTACTCAATTCAGCTGTTTTCTCTGTGGCGTCTGGCTTATTCTACTTGTTCCGCCGCCGCTCGACTGGGTTCAGTTCACTGGTTAGCCATGTTCCTAGCGCCGACGATCGGCACCTGCAGTTCGCATGGCCCGCATCGACCGACATAGATCATTGACAAGTGTGTGAGGAGCATCAGCCACATAGACGAGGTGTGCTTTTCTTAATTCCTCACTGGTATTACTGCAGAAATGGATGTTTAACGGCAAGCTGATGACACCTATCTAAACACTGTGAGAATGAAGGACGGTGGGCAGAATAAATTGTACTGAAACAACCGTGATTCTACATGCATGATAATGAAGCAAGATAGAAACGTATACCTTACGAATAGGTAAACGGACTCGTAGTTAGTTACGGAAACAATTCTGCGCGTTCAGTTCGCGCAGTCTGCGCTCCAATTACATAATAAGTGGGGCATTAAAACAAAGTGTTCCGATGCATGAGCTTTGCACATCGTTGCCAATAACTAACGGAACGTTACATACTAAAGACAGGAAAATGTGAACTAGGCAGTGCAGCAGTTAATTCAGATGTTGTGATCAATAAAAGTGGTCTGTCTAATCTCGTGATTACAAATGTTAAGAAAAATGTACTACTTATAAATAAATAGTAGCAAGGTTACACCAACGAATCAGAATTGCATAGTATCAGTTAAATTAGTGAATTAATTCACAACGGGCATTGATGGTATGGTAGAAACCTGCGCTACTCGCTTTTGATGTGACTACTCCGAGTTGGGGATCGATAATATCCGCCGGCACTTGTTGTTTAGTGACTAGCCACAATACAGTCTATGCTGTTCCACTCACCAAGCTTTAGGAACCATGTGTAACTAACTAAATAAAAGCCATATTCATTGACAGTGCTAATCACAGTCTGAGCGGCTTAATCAATTTGTACAACGGCATCGCGTAAAACGGGTAATTGTTTGAATTTTTGGAATGAGTGACAAGTTGAATGTGTTCTAAAGATTGAGATTACGAACAATAACAAATGCAGATACAGCCAGATAATTAGCAAGTAATACAGGCACCCCTGGAATAGTCCCCAGGGACCTACTTCCATCTACGGTATTCCCTCGGAAAGCTTCACTCGCACATGAGTTGGTTGTTCACCTTTCCTTGCTGATTAATGCATATTCCAACTATCCAACTCGCTGCAACATAAATTCGGGTGAGTGGGGGAAGGGTGATGGCATATACGGACGCCATTTGGACAGCTTACCAGCCTTCCTTCCGACCGAGTTATATGAAAGCGAGCACCCAAGGTGTTGAATGCGTAGGCCGCTCATAAACTCCTTTCATTCTCTCCTGATTCATCTGGTATCGTATTAGAAGCTGTCTATGTAATGTTTTTCGAATGCTGGGCATTATCGGCCGTGGGTTGTTAACACGGTGCCAAGGTGTTTTGCTCAGCATTTAACTGTGAGCTCTCATCGCATACGCATTGGCCACTTTTGTAGTTCTGTTTTTCGATTGTCACTTTCATGGCATTGGCGTGTCAGAGTCGGTTGAATTATTGTTGTTGTATGATTTTAAATAAACATTTATATCTACCCACCGAGTTGGAACTTTAAGGAATTTATGCTTGTACCTCTTCTGAATTGTTTTGCACCAATGTTTGGCTCTCTTTGTTACTTTTTGTAGGTATAATAAAGATTTACAGTTGGACGATGCAGTGCACGCAGCCATACTCACACTAAAGGAGAGTTTTGAGGGACAGATGACTGAAAACAATATTGAGATCGGTATATGCAACGAGAATGGGTTTCGCACCCTTACTCCAAACGAATTGAAGGACTATCTGGCCGCAATTTGAACCACTCGCAATCCATCCGCCCCCCCCCCCCCACACTCATCGAATTGCACAGGTCAACCGGTTACCTGCTTTCGACTTTGCCCATTTGTATTTTATAAAAAGTTGTTTGCGAGAGATCCATCGGTGCTTCTGTTTACCACAGTTGTCTTCTCCACCGCACTCACGTCATAGTGTGCGTGACTACGAGAGTAGTGTTTCTTTAGGTTAGTAGTTCTCTTGCGATACTACCTACTGTTGAGGTTTCTGTACAGAACCACTTGGGCCGCTCATGTCTGTTTCCGTTGTGCAGGATAATGTGCTTCTTGGTGCATGCTTTTCACGTTATGTTTTTTCCCAATGTGCACAGACTATAATTTCTAGTGCAGCTGGTTTAGGGCAACATGAAGACATTTTTTAAACACAGATAAGATCGGACAGGAACAAAGTAATTAGCGAAGAGGTTCCAAGGTTGGAACACATGAAGAGCGTAAAGGTTTCGGCGACGTTCTAACCGGCTGCATTTCATGACCAGCTTGAATTGGTGGCCTCTCACTTTCATATTGCTGCTAACTTGCTGTAGGTAGCAGCGAACCTAGCAGGGAAAGAGTGAGCCCTACTTCCTGAATGAGCGACTGCCAACAAACATCATGGGTACTATACACTTGGGGTCTATTGATTTGAAGACTACAGTTTAATTCAGAGAGACATGATTCACCCCGGGACTCCCGTTCTTAGAGGTGGCGTGCACCAGTCAAACCGAGCATCTCACTTACTTACTTTGTGTCTTGTGTTACAGCACCGTTCGATTCCTTGAGGCTTCAACCAACTGAACGTGCACACAATGCGTAAAATGCTCAACAAACATGCAAAGAGTATGATCAAGCCAACGTATACGGTTCGAGTGCAAAAGATAGCATAATAATAATAAATACAGGACCAAACAAAATTCATTCTTTTTTAACGCCTATTGTTTCTCCCTGCATTAACTGGTAAGTAGTCTGATCGCGGCCCTGCAATGACAGCAAAGGAAAATGTGCAAGATTCGAGACGTGCTAAG